TTCAACTTCATTATCCCAGCTAAGTTTATCCTGTGGATCTTGTGAGACAGACATCAATGAAGGTGAGGACATAATTATGTAGGGTAAGTCATAACAAAAGCTATGTAATTTTTGACTTTTTCAACTTGGATGTTTTTTCTAGATCTTTTCCACAGAGATTTAGATCTTTTTAGATATTTTTTGACACCGTTTTGGATATTTTTTGTCAAAGAAAAGTGGCAACACTGACCACATCCAGGGTTGCCATATTGGCATTTTTTATGCCAGATTCCACAAATCTGGCATATTTGAAATTGAACTGGCATTACATAATGAACTGGCATATTTGGGTTTTTCTTGGCATTTCTTATCAAGATCTGCTCACATTTTCTTCATGCTTCCTCTGTTAGAAACACGCAAATTTACTAAAAGCAATGTAGACCTACTGTTAAAATCGTTATTTCAGTTTGACTTTGTTGTGATGTCCTGGTACTGACTAACGGAGATTCGCGCCATTTCGTATTGTATTTGTTGTCTTCCTAACGTGACTGCGATAAACCTCTGTAATTTATGTTAATTTACTAGAATAAATGCGAGATATAAAACGAAAACCCACCACTGATACCAAGTGATTTAGACTATTCAGAAACTACTCGAGGACAGAGAATAGATAGGATATAGACCTAGTTCTATCTGTGATAGATTTTATTACTTTTACCAATGGCCAGGTCATCCAAAAAATGGAAAGCATCTTAAGACGCAATCGGAAGTATAATAGTAATTGGGAGAAAACATACTCATGGCTGAAAAGATCTTCAGACGGATCATAGGCGGCATATTGTAAACTGTGTCAGTGCATTGTTGCACCAAGAATTAGTTGCATTTCAAATCATGAAAAATCCGACAAACACAGGATGAAAACTTCGTCAAAAAGCCAGTCACAGCTTATTATAACAATAACTCCTAGGCAAAGTAATGATAAAGTTAAAGCAGCAGAGTTGCAACTTGCTGTAGGCATGACACGCCATTGTGCAATACGCACAACTGATCATTTAAGTGAAATCATGAGAGCGCATGGCCAGGGGAGTACATTTGAGCACACAGTTGCATGGAACTAAATGTTTATGTTTAATTTAAAAAATATTATATCGCCTGCACTTAAGGATGACCTTATTGATAATTTTCAGAACAAGAAATATGCCATCATTATAGATGAGTCTACTGACGTTTCCACTCAAAAGTACTTGTGCATTATAGTTAGTTTTTTCAGTGACAGGAAAAATAAATTATTTACTGGATTTCTTGCTTTAATTTCCTTGCAAGTGGCTACAGGAGAAAACTTATTTAATTTGATTGATAAGGAAATCAAAAGGTGTGGCCAAAGTCTTACAAATTGCATTGGGTTTGTGTCAGATGGCGCTTCAAACATGGTTGGGTGCAAGAACTCTGTATGGTCCAGAATTAAAGATGTGTCTCCTTTTTGTGTACAGCTCAGATGTATCTGCCATTCACTAACACTCTGCATTTGTAGTGCCATTGCCAAGCTGCCATCAAATATTGATTTCTTACTGTCAGAAATTGCACAGTGGTTTCGCCATAGTGATTTAAGACGATCTGCTTATAAAGAACTGTTTAGAGTGATGAACACATCTTTGGAGTTTGAATCAGAACGAACTGCTCCTCTTCCATTTGAGAAACTGTCATCTACTAGATGGCTTGTGCATGGAAAGATTATGTTTAATATGTTGGTAAACTGGGAAGAATTGAAGGCTTATTTCACATGTGCTGAATTAGCACAGACAGCGTTTGACACACAATTTAAAGATTGTTAAAGGAAATGCTGTTAACCACAATAATTATTTGTACTTTGTGTTGTGTTTGCGACACCAATTGTACAAGAATTTGAAAGACTGAACAGTATTTTTCAACAAACAAAAGCTGATCTTCATGAACTACACCAAGAATTGTCCATGCACCAGAAAAGTCTTAAGAACAGACTGTACGACGTCAATGAGTAGAACAAAAATATTCATCACGTTGACTTTGGTATTAAATTCTTAACGGAATGTAATGCGTTCCTACAGAAGAATAACAGGACTGAAGTTCAGATAGAAATAAACAATGTTAAAGAAAGATGCACGTTAGTGCTAAAGGAAGCTCTCAATCAAATTACGTGTAGACTTCCCACCGAGAATATATTTCAAAATCTATCCAAATTGAGCCCTTTGGCAGTTTTAAATCAAGCATCAAGGACACAGTTTTCAGAGCTACCATTTTTACACCTGGCAGAAAACAACATCAGTATTATAGAAGAACAGTACAGAAAACTGAATGTTGTCAACTGGAAAGAAGAAGCTACATTTAAGAAGGATGGACTACCTACAAACGGAAGATTTGTGGATAGACGTACTTCGACACCAGGTATTTAAAGAGTTGGCCACTTTCGCCCCTACTTGCTTAACAATGTCAGCTAGCAATGCTGTAGTGGAGAGAATATTATCTCTTTTTACTTCAACTAAATCAAAAGCAAGAAACAAAATACAACTGGATTTCCTTGATGCAGTCGTCAGAATTATAGCAGAACTATTGATATCAAAGAAATGTTGCAAAGACTTCATTCCATCTAAGAAAATGCTTAAAGATTTTAATCCGAACGGTTTATGCTGCATCTTCCACTGGTTCCAGTGAGGATGACAGTGAAGAATTCAATCTAGAGCTTTTGATGTGAAGTGAGTACAATGTTATACTTTATTTGGCAATTTTCTGGCATATTTTGGGTGATGGTTTGGCATAAAATGAAGTTTTTTTTTTTTTTAATCTGGCATCCTTGGAACACACACACAAACAGGAACTGCCTGAGTGAAAATACATAACACCGGTGGTGACGTCACGTCACGCTGATGACGTCGCCAGGAGCTAGGCCTGTACTAGAGAAGGTCTCGGATTAATTCATATCGATTATGTTAGGAAATTAGCTCTACGTCAAGTGATTCTACTTCTTTCGGAAAGCAAAATGCACCCGGCTTATGTAGAGCTGCCAAATAAATATTCGATTTTTCAAAAGCTTGGAAAACCATATTCGAACAATTTTGATATAATCATATATAGAAAACGACATGGCGAAAAAAAGAACAATTACATAGATGTGCATTAAATATTACTATGAAAAAAAAAAAGCACATCAAATTTAGAAAACTTTTAATAAGCATTTTTAAATCTTAGCTAAGTTTAATAAAGCGTATAGCTATCTTTAAATAAACATAACAACAGTATTCATTGGACTAGGAGCCCCTGCCAATATTTATAAGCAATCTTTAAAAGAGATTAATAGAGCATTATTTCCCTTGAAAATATTATTAACTTATTATGTCCCTTTATCATAAATATTTTATATTTATAACTAGCCACAATACTAAAGTTATAGAACCTATCATATCGTAGTCATCCCTTTGTGAGATGCAATTTTTCGTTATTTTGAAGCCACAAGCTGGCTCTTGCCAGGGCCCACAATATAGTCCGGCCATAAATATGGTCTAATGGCTGAACGCGGTTTGCGGGACCCCTCCACGGATGATCCCCTCCACATCGTGGCACTTTGTGTCATCGGGTGTTTATTGCTTGTGTGATGTCTTGGTGGGGCACAACTTACCTACCTACCTAAAGTTATTCATTACAGGATATCTTCGTTGAATATCAGGCATACCATTGTGTATTTTGATCTTCTCGCAAGTAGGACTTTTTCAAAATACTTTAAATTACTTGCCATCCTCAACCCATTATGATTTCAAGTTATACTTGGCTGGCGCAATAGTTGCTCTAATTATAACTTCTTTGGGGTGTTTATGAATTTGCCTTGTTGCCTCCCCCCCCCCCCCCCCCCCCCCCACCCCTTTCCATGTGGTTTCATGAGTAGCAGGGGGTGAATGAAATTAAATTTCACTAGGATTGTACCCTGAGGGATTAACACCAAGTGACGCAGAATGCAGTTCATCATTACTCGGATGAAAATGGGCCAGCTCTACATCCGAAAACCACGAGAAAATAGCTCCACTAGGGCGTGCTCCAAAAGACGTTACCTCAAAAATCATTGAACCATCTGTTGAGTTCAGTCAAGCAAGAATTTACATCACAGAACTCGGGGAATTCATGCTGTCCTCATCTTCAGCAGCCAGCGCAGAGTTCCAATACTGATGGTGCCGGTCACAATCTGGTTAAATGTCCCTTGTCTTTCATCTGAGTGAAGTGAGCCGGCCAGACCCTCTGGTTACACCCAGGTGCCTTATTCTCTCCAGGCCATAATAATCTTCTTTCTCTACAGATTCCGTTGCTTGTTCCCAAAGAGCCTTGACCACATCTGCCTTGTCATGTATCAATTCACCACCTAGTGTGAACCATATGTATAAACAGAGAACGTAATCTGGTCGAGTGTGCTCTTGTGGATTAGGGCCTCTATTTCAGCACCAGTGGCCGTTTTGTTCCATTTTCTGCAATACCGAGTCTGACATGTTCCAGTGGGCAATCTAATGGTATTCTCTACTTGCGCCATCTAGAACCATCCCGTCTTTAGGCGCTTACCTTACGCTTAGATACTGTGGAGCCCTTTTTGCCAGAATTCACAACCCGTGAATGAGAAAAAGCAAAAGAAGAAGCAGAAAAAGAAAACGAAGGTTAATGGACGTCATCGGGTCAGGCTAACGATGCGTTATTGCAACGGTTCTCGAACTGAGTGCCGAGGCACAATGGGGTGAAGTGAGTGTATGCCAAGGCTGCCGTGGCAATAATCAAGAAAGGTCAGCTACAAATTGTAAAATTAATAAAGGCATGTATATACTTAAAAGTTAAAATTTAAGTTGTCTTCTCTCGCCACTATCGAAAACAGTTTTTTTTTCTTGTTTGAGATCTGTTGCGTTAAGGCATCGTTAGCCTGACCCGGTGACATCAGCAGCAAGTCCCATCAGCTGGAGTTGGTAGTGGTAAATGCCACCATTTAAATAAAAAATCACCATAAAACAAGAACAACTCTAAACTAACTTGTTGTCACTGATCGCATGTCTCCAGTCTGCTCCATCACTCTGATATCCTAGAAATGGAACCGGGACGATGAAACCAACCAGCCAATACCTTCCAAAAACTGAAGTAATATTTCTCCAGACAGATCCCTGATAAGTTTTAATCCCTTTCATGTATTCATATTTTGTCTGACCGTGATAAACAAGGTTCACTTGGACACAGAAGAAGTGGGCACAAAGCAACACTGTCAAGACACTCCAGTACAATAAAATTGTCATTCCTAGTGCGGATTCACTGACTCGTCCCATGAAGAAAAGAACAAACAAAACAGGAAGAATATAAACAAGATAACCCCAGCCGGTTGATTCCTCTAAATTGTATCGTCTGAGATACAAGAATGTGACAGCAGAATTGAAGATCTCACCCACGCCCACGTACAAACAGAAGATGATGAAAAACCTCTGGTTGTGGTAACCTATGCAGCATCCCACGAAGAAGCAATGGTGGTCACGTTTTAGAACACAGTGTCTGCAAATTGGGCAGTGTTTTGCTCTAGGAGGCACCAATGTGTCACAGTCTTTGCATTTGGGTTTTCTAGTTTTGACTACTGTTGCATTAGCCATGTCACCTGAACCTAACAATGATTTACTCTCAAAGTCATTATGGCTGTTTCCCTGGCTAATATCATTTTCATTTAAATTGTCCTGGAAGGTAAAATATGAGCCAAAACTGTGGTTACTGTTGCTGCCTGTTTGCACGGATATCTTTTTGTCTCTATCATTACCTGTAGGCTTTTTATTTGAATCACAGTAACTACTCATGGCTAAATGGGGGTCATCATAAACAGCTTCAGACTTTGAATACGTCAATGAGCTGGTAAAATCTAGAGATGAAACTAAACTGGCACCTGACAACGGCTTTATGCATTCAGGTTTCACAACAGAAAGCCGAGACATATACCACATACAAATGTAATTACCGGCCACGTTGATGGATACAAAGTATGCAAATATTTTGATGTAATGGAAAGTGCTTGCGTCTTTATCACAAACTTGAGGCAATGTAACATTTAAAAATAGGAGCACTTTCAGAAATAAAACGACGATGAAGTACACCTTACAGAGGCGGTTGATAAGTTTGAGCTGAGAATCCAAGGTAAATGCCATTTTACAAATCTGTGGACAAAAATGAATAAGCAAACATTATTTGCATTAAACAAATCACTGTTTACCAACACTGCAACATTATCTGGCTATATCTTCTTCTTTCTTGTGTTCACCAGCTGAAAACATTGATGAAAAGTCCTGATTGTTGGTCCATTTCATGTTTCAGAAATTGAGTTCTGCATGCATATCAATTTCACAGATCTGGCTTAATGTTATGCAGACTGTTGGTTCATTGCTTCTCAGGCAGATGCACTCCGACTTTGAAGGAAAACCCCCTAATTATTGGCTTTTTATGACATGCTTGTTAGGGGAACAGTACGTCTATTCTAAAATGAGGGCTTGGAACTCACACAGAATGTGGCTATATCATATAGGGTTGAAGATGTTCTTGTTTGGCTTAGGGCAGTGTTTTTCAAACTTTTCTTAGCAGCAGTGCCTTTTTTAAATAAAAGTTTTTCCACGGCGCCCTAACTTTAGAAAAAGTATGACTATTCGTGTCTTGGTTAAATTAATTATGAAGCTTTCACAATATTTTGCAGCGCCCCTATGAAGAGGTCGCGGTTCCCCAGGGCACCACGTTGCACTGTTTGGGAAACACTGGCTTAGAGGGTTATTAAGACAGATTCATAATTCTGACACACTTAAAGTCAACTGCAGGCGGTTTGGCAGAAGACTGCTTTGCACTGATTTATGCAACTGTGTGAGAGTCAAACTATTTAGAAAGCAATGGCAAACTACCAATTATAAAAGTGCCTTGCAAAACCACAAACAGCCAACACATGTTGAGTTTGATTATTCACATCATGTCAACTATTTCCATGCCATATAACTCACTTTTTGCTGAATGTATGTCTGGTGTATAAACATAACACATGGTGTTTTATTAAGTACACTGTATCTTTGGTCTGATGAAATCTAGCCAAATATTTTTAATGCAGCTCAGTATATGCTATATCAGTCATACAAAGATGCCTTTTTAACCATGACTAATGTGCCAAACTGGGTTTCTACTTTGAAACTATCAAGGACTGAAAAAACAGTTAATGAGATGCAAGTGACATTTTTTGTAAGCATCACACTCATAGTTTTGGAAGAAACACTTGTTCTTCTTCAGTGATCAAATATTTCCTACTGTCACCCATAAGTGTCAAAGCTACAAAAGTATCTGCATATTTTTCCTGCAGGTATCTATGAAAATTAAATACAAAAGATTGAGCGAAAGGGCGGACTTCACTGCACCAGGCTTTACTCCGTGTGGCTCAGCTCTTTTCGTAGAATGGCAAGCCATCTGCCGAGAATGTTGCACAAAGCAAAAACTCTGCAGCTATGGCGATGATCCCCAGGAATCTTCATAAAAATTGCACTTGTAAACCAAACGGAGAAATGCTTAAAGCAGCAGATGAGAACAGATTACAGATATTGCTACAGCTGACTGATGAAATCAGGCAAAACAAGTTCCTACCACAATAGTGGAAAGTGGTGCAATTTTCAGTCTGCCTTAAAAAAAAGGTGATCTGTCTGACTGTAATATGTGGCATGGTACCACTCTGCTTTCAGTGATAGGAAAACATTTTCGTAGCTTGTTTCCTGAGATTGAAAAAAGTCTACAGATGAAAGGCTAAGAGACGAACAAGCAGGTTTTAGACCAAATCGGTCATGCATAGACTACACCTTTACCCTCAGAGTAATCAATGAAGAATTCATAGAATTTCAGTCGCAGTTAATCGTGAACTTAGTTAACTTTCAAAAACCCTTTGACAGTATCCACTGTCCTACACTTTGGAAACTACTTAAAATCTATGACTTCCCTACCAAATTTATCAATGTCATAAAATCCTTCTACAATGAAACATGCTGCAGTGTAAGAACAGAATCTGGTAACTCTGACTGGTTCGCAGTTGAAACAGGAGTGAAACAAGGCTGTGTCCTATCACCGATGCTCTTTGGAATAGCAATCAGTCGGGTCATACACAAGCATGGGTATCAAATGGGTCGACTATAGATAACAATCCTAGGGGACAGAGCATAAAACATTTGATCAAGAGCATGACACGTTACAACTGAATGTTCATGAGCAAGCAATCTATTGTCATCTGGATATTCAGCAGGTTCAGGATAGGATTTCTGCTCTTCTCCTGTATCAGACTGGAAAATATCTACAAACAGCAGATGAATCCAGATAAAGTACTGGTCTTAAGGCATCTCCCAGAGGGTTCCAGGTTCTGCTCTCTTTCCTATCACTAGTAGGTACTTGGAGAAGAGTAATCTGTAAGCTCAGATTGTAGATGTCAATAAGTCCCTAGGTTCAGGATAGTTTCTGCCTTTCTCTTGACTCACAGACTTCTCTATCACCACGCACACCTAGTTCCTTAAAAAGTGTAGACTGGCATCAATGTACACAGTCCATAGCTTGTGCCTCTTTGATTTAGACAGCCTTCTCCTTACACCGCAATAGCTTTTGGCAGATTGTAGACTGCTATTACTGCTACCAGCGCGTGACTCAGGATCCAGTTTCTGTTCTATTTTATTTCCTATAACATGCAGGTACTTGGGGTGGATTAATCTGAGATCGGACTGTAGACTACAATAAGTCTATAGGTTTATTAGGATAGTTTCTGCCAATTCAAATAATAATTATTTGAATTGGCAGAAACTATCCTAATAAACCTATAGACTTATTGTAGTCTATTATTATAATTTGACTAAAATATACAAATTACAATCAGAGTTTACTTTTATAATTTCCAGAAATGTGACCCATAGTGGGCGTTTTTCGTGTGGATACAGCCTCCCTCTAGCAAGTATAGTTACTATAGTAACTCTTATTTCGTGTTATTTAGAACTGAACGAATGTTAAAGGTAACCTAATCATCACATGCACACACACTCTAGACTATGATCTGAGTTTATTTTATCATTTATATAGCTAATATTTAAATAGATATAATTTTATTAATAAAGCTTTGTTCGTTCTTATTAAAGAAGCGCTGGAAAATATATATGCACAAAAGGTGCCAGTGCTGTGTACCACCAGAAAGAAAGAAAAATGCATAATGATAAACAAAATACAAGAACATGTTGTGGTCTCGTTTGATCATATTCGAAGTTACTTCCCTTACCCAAGGTTGCCAGATAAAAAAACTTCATTTTATGCCAAACCATTTCCCAAAATATGTCAGAAATATGCCAAATAAAGGTTACATTGTACTCACTTCACATCAAAAGCTCTAGATTGAATTCTTCACTGTCATCCTCACTGGAACCAGTGGAAGATATTAACTAAACCTTTTTGAATGTAAAATCTTCAAGCATTTTCTCAGATGGGATGAAGTCTTAGCAACTCATCTATAATGATGGCATTTTTCTTGTTCCGAAAATCATTAATAAGGTCTAGGCGATGTAATGTTTTTTTTTTTTTTTTTATTAGGCATGAACATTAAGTTCTATGCAACTGTATGTGCTCCAATGTACTCCCCTGACCATGCGTTCTCACGATTTCACTTAGATGATCAATTGTGCTTATTGCACAATGGCAGGTCATGCCCACAGCAAGTTGCAACTCTTCTGCCTTTAACTTTATCATTACTTTGCCTAGAAGCCATTGTTGTAATAAGCTGTGACAGGCTTTTTGACGGAGTTTTCATCCTGCGTTATTCGGATTTTTTCATGATTTGAAATGCTACTAATTCTTGGTGCAACAGTGCACTGACACAGTTTACAGTATGCTGCCTATGATTCGTCTGAAGATCTTTTGAGCCGTGGCTATGTTTTATTCCAGTTGCTATTATTATACTTGCAATGTCATAAGATGCTTTCCTTTTTTTTTTTTTTTTTGGATGACATGGCCATTGGTAGAAGCAATAAAATCTATCACAGATAGAACTAGGTCTATATACTTTCTATTTTCTGTCCTCAAGTAGTTTCTAAACAGTCTGAATCACTTGATATCAGTGGTGCGTTTTGGTTTTATATCCCGCATTTATTCTAGTAGATTAACATAAATTACAGAGGACCTTGGTTTATCGAAGTCACGATTTGTTTAGGACACAACAAATACAATAATAAATGGCTCGAATCTCCGTTAGTCCGTACCAGGACTTCACAACATAGTCAAACTGAAATAAAGATGTAAACTGTAGGTCTATATTGCAAGAAAAAACCCAAATATGCCAAAATATGCCAGTTAATTATCTTATGCCAGTTCAGTTTCAAATATGCCAGATTTGGCAACCCTGCACTTACCGGATGTATTTCTCTTTGCGACATTTAAGGAATCAATCAATCAATCAATCATCATCGTCCACCTCCTCCAGCCGTTCAGGGGCGTGGGGGGAGGAACAGTTTGCGAAAATGCAAATCAGTGAGTTGTGCTAAAACACGAAGCACTAACAAAAAGTGGTAGCCAACTTTTTTTTTTACATGGCTCTCTCTTGAGTTTAGGGCAATAGCCCCATTTACGCCCCCCCCCCTCCCCACGTTAACATAATAAAAAGGAATATTTGAAAGAGACGTAATGTGTTCCTAATCTATAATAAAATGCATACGTTGCCATATTATTTAAATTTTTACCAGTTGATGTGCAAAAGCATCCTTAAATTTTCGTTTGAAAGAAATATCTTTGAAGAAAATGTTTTATTTGTAATTAACAAATTATT